GTTGATGTAGAGGGCAGTCAGGGGTAAACCACATTGCCCTGAATCAAGATGGCTGCACGGAGCTCTGACTGGGAGGGACTTGTTACTTCCTGTGGGCGGAGCTCTGGAAGTGCCGAATGAAACTTACTGGGAAGAGATACATTGTGTCACATCGAGTGCCTGAGATCGGTGACAGATCGGTGACAGATCGGTGTGATTGATCGGTGTGATCGGTGACAGAACGGAGTGATTGATCGGTGACAGATCGGTGTGATTGATCGGTGTGTGATCGGTGACAGAACGGAGTGACAGATCGGTGTGATTGATCGGTGACAGATCGGTGTGATTGATCGGTGTGTGATCGGTGAGTGATTGATCGGTGACAGAACGGAGTGATTGATCGGTGACAGATCGGTCTGATTGATCGGTGACAGAACGGAGTGACAGATCGGTGTGATTGATCGGTGTGATTGATCGGTGAGTGATTGATTGGTGACAGATCGGTGTGTGTGGTCTAGTTGGAAACATGTCAGTGCAATGGCGGGTCCCATCGTCTCTTCCCTGCCCCCCCCTGTCTGCACTACTCCTGGGGGTCGGTGTCACCTGGGGCTGCTACTACCTGCACTGCATATGTAAGGTCAGTGTCACCGTCTGTCATGTTCATCCTCAGGACTTGTTGGGGAGATCTGAGGGCCACATACACAGTGAGGTTGGCTCTGGCTGGGTTGGAGGGTCTGTCAGGTCTTTATTGGTGTCCCCAATGGAAGATTCGCCCATCCGGTGGGTCTGGTGACAACCATGAAGAGCTGACTATAGGGTTACATTGTTTGTGACCCCCTAACCCTGAAGAAGCCCCAATCACTGAGGTGAAACGCGTTGCGTGATTTTGGAGGGCGCCGTCCGTATATCGAGCTCTGTGATGTCATGATGAGTGTATACGGCTGTGATTGGGGTATATTCATTATAGGCAGCTAAGAGGGAATTCCCGTCACTTCCTGTTGTGTCTCCTGGACAGGAAGTAGAATTAAATCTCCATCCAAATCTATACACTCCCCCCGATGGTCAGATATTCGGGGATTGTACAATTCCATATTTCTGTCCGATAAATGACCCGCCGATGTCTTGTCTGTGATTGGTTGCAGAGACCGCGATTGGTGGCGGCCGGACCTCTCCGCCACTTCCTGGAGTCTCATGTCCCCGTCGTCAAGACCGACTTCCGCCCAACGTTTTGGTGTGTCGGCGGGAGAATTCAGACCATCGTCCGGGTACTCCTCCTATCCCGCCCCCGACCGGCCTACAACTTGTCTGTGATTGGTTGCAGAGACCGCGATTGGTGGCGGCCGGACCTCTCCGCCACTTCCTGGAGTCTCATGTCCCCGTCGTCAAGACCGACTTCCGCCCAACGTTTTGGTGTGTCGGCGGGAGAATTCAGACCATCGTCCGGGTACTCCTCCTATCCCGCCCCCGACCGGCCTACAGGAAGTGAGTGACCACAGACAGGAAGTCTTTATAAAGGGGACTCTACCCCGCTGTGCCCATTATGAGGGGCTCCCACCATCATATATGATGTGGTGGGGGGGAGGGGTGTCACATGACCTAGATGTACCCCAGTCTTGATTGGTTGGGGGGTGCTGGTCTGGGTTCGCTGTGCTCTGATTGGCCAAACTCCACAAGCTGACTGAGCTGGCAGTGCGGGGGTGGGGAGTTCCGGGAGTACAATGTACACTCGGGGCCAACGTCCAACGTCTGAAGGTGTGGGCCGCCCCGTGTCTGCAGTGTACTCTGCCACGGCCTATGTTGGCATATTGTGAAAGCTCTTTAACCCTCGCTGTGCAGTCAGGATGGCGCACACCGTCCACACACACCCCGTGCCTGTCCCTTTAAGAGTCTGGAAAGATCTGGAACACGGAGTCTGCTCTGTGTG